CAAGTGTCAAAATTCTATTTATGGAAACTGAAAGTTTATAGCTTTCTTTTGTTGAGCTGTTTCTTGTTTTTGTTTCGTTGGCTTGCTTAGGGAAATTTAACGTTTTTTTTCTTAGCAAATCTAAGTAAATTCCAACAAATTATAGATTTTGTAACCATTTTGTTGGGAAATAGGAGAAAGAAAAACATTCAATTCTTCTTCATTTTAGGTCAAAATTTTGGAGAAATTAGATTAGAATTGAATTGGTTGCTTATTAGAGAGAATTGGCAACTAAACTATATTGAAAAGGTTCAGAGAAAGAAGATCATCAAGAGAGAACAAAAGGAGTTTGTGGATCAAATACTCATCAAGATTTGGGCTTGCTCAAGGTTTTTATATAAATCCTCAGGAAGATTTCTTGGTGCCATATCCGAATAACATGTTCTATGATCAAATACTCTGAACAATATGTTCCTTTAGACAGGCCTTTGCTTTGATTCTCTTCTAGGGATCCCTCTCTTGTAATAGGATGATTTAGTTTTCGACTCGGGTAGCTAGCCGGTTGCGTTCCTTTGTCTTGACTCTGAATCTGTTTATCTATTCCGATGAGTGCTCGGATTTGTTTTCTTGGTTCTTGTTCTAACCTGAAATGTAACAATGTGCAGGGTTCGTATGGAATGACGCATCAGCAAGCTCTAGCTCAAGTCACTGCTCAAGCAGTTCAAGCCAATGCCAATATGCAACCGCAAACCGAGTACCCTCCTTCCTCGCAGGTTCAATCATTTTCATCGGCTCAACCTCAGATCCCGACCTCAGTTCCGAATCCTTCAGTACTAGCTCAAAGAGAAACCTCAGATGTAACAATCATCGAGCAGAGGTCACAACAGCCTCTAAATGTTGACAAACCAGCTGATGATGGCTATAACTGGCGAAAATACGGGCAAAAGCAAGTTAAAGGCAGCGAGTTTCCTCGAAGCTATTACAAGTGCACGAATCCAGGATGTCCTGTCAAGAAGAAGGTTGAGAGATCACTTGATGGACAAGTAACGGAAATCATCTACAAAGGTCAGCACAATCACGAACCTCCTCAAAACACTAAGCGGGGAAACAAAGATAGCACCGCGAATCTAAACGGGAGTTCGATTAATAACAACCGCGGGAGTTCTGAACTGGCTGCATCACAGTTTCAAACCAGTAGCTTCAACAAGACTAAGAGGGAACAACATGAAGCAGCAAGTCAAGCTACAACAGAGCAAATGTCTGAGGCAAGTGACAGCGAAGAAGTCGGTAATGGAGAAACCGGTGTGAGAGAGAAAAATGAAGACGAGCCTGATCCCAAGAGAAAGTAAAGTTATAATCTTTGTTGATGATTGATATTCTATTTTTCCGGTTCTTGATGAGAGGGAGATGTTTGAATGTGCAGAGTTACAGAAGTTCGGGTTTCGGAACCAGCTGCTGCTTCACATAGAACCGTGACAGAACCTCGAATTATCGTCCAAACGACGAGTGAAGTTGATCTTTTAGATGATGGATATAGGTGGCGCAAATATGGACAGAAAGTTGTCAAAGGGAATCCTTATCCGAGGTAATACACGAATAATCAACGATATAGTTTACGTGTTAAATCATTCTTGTTAATGTTCTGTTTTGGATCCTTAGGAGCTACTACAAGTGCACAACACAGGGATGTGGAGTGAGGAAACATGTAGAGAGAGCAGCAACAGATCCAAAAGCTGTAGTAACAACATATGAAGGAAAACATAACCATGACCTTCCTGCAGCTAAATCAAGCAGCCACGCCGCTGCAGCAGCGGCACAGTTGAGGCCAGAAAATCGACATGGCGGTTTGGCTAACTTAAATCAGCAGCAGCAGCAGCCTGTTGCGCGTCTAAGGCTGAAAGAAGAGCAATAAGTTAAAGAGAAGAAAACTCTGTATATCTCTCTCTATCAAGTCAAGTTCTACTCTTGATCTTTTTCATGATTAAAGCTTTCAACTTTGATGGAATCTAGCAGTTTGCAGGAAAGAAAGAGCTTGAGGAAGGGTTTGTTCTTCAATGTTCTGGTGTAAAACTTAAAAAAGCTTCTTTAGGTTTTTTCAGATTTCTGTTTTCTTATGTGAATTCTTTTGTACATGAGGAAGAAAATTACAGGGGGGGTTTTGTCTTTTGTGTTGTATCTTTGTGTTATTTGTTTCAGAGGAGGATAGGTTTTATATTTTGTGTATGAAAAATTATATGTTGTACTATCAAACTGTGTTTTCTTTTGTTTTATTATTTTTATATCATCACATAATTGCTATAAGTATTATTAACCCAAATTTGTTTGCTGATTGAGTTATTATTGTTCATCTCTCATTTACAGAGAGCAATTGTTGTTTTTAGAAAGTTTTGAATAATGGAGTAAGAATTTACTACGACCGTACAAAATGAATATTTTTTTCTTCTCATGAGATTAATAAATTTCAGAGCAAATCTTGTTTCTATGGTTTCTCAAAAAGACAATTGA